GTTCTGTCTTCGATAGGAAGGGGTGCTCAAAATTCAGATTCAGCCACAACAGGAGTTGTGTCATGCACTGTGCTGACAAAGCACACACCGGTACGTACCCAGAGGACCGAGAGTTAACCGCTAATTTGAGAATATGCTGGCGATGTGGCAAGCAGATGGGAGTGACCCTGAGGTTAGCAGGGTGACTTCACTCTGTATGTGTAAGTGAGTGTGTGTGTGTGTTGCTACAGGGACCGGCAACGTGACAGTCCCCGGAAAGGCCTTAGGCCACTTGCTAAGTCCGAGCAGCTGAGCTGACTTCAGCTGTGTGAAACGCAGCCCCATCTGGAGTGGGGGTGGCTCGTGACTTTTGCTCCGGGAGTTCCACAGAGTCTGCTCATGAAATTAGAGAAGCCTGTAGCATATGATTGTCCCCGTCCCACTCAGAGAGAATATTTTGAGCAGTCTAATTATATGGTAGGGTTTAGAGGGAAGAGGGTTGTAAGAGCGCGTTGGAAGGGGAGGTTCAGGAGCCCTGGCAGTTCCGTGGGGTCAGGGCGCCCTCTGCAGGTGGAGCCGGGTGCCTGCAGCCGCCGCATTGCCTTGGGCACGTGCCCAAAGCAGTATATCTCCCTCACTGAAGATGCCGACCTCCTAGCTATGTGACTTAGGGAAAGTTGTTGACCCTTCTGAGGCTCAGTTGCCTCAACTGTAAATGAGAAACAACAATCCCTACCTGGTGGGGGTTCAAATGATTAGAGAGGGAAGATGTACCCAAAGGGCTCGGCGGAGGGCAAGATAGGCACGGAATCCTCCAAAGGTGGCAGCTACAAGCAGCGGCAGCAGCGGCAGCCCCAACATCACTGTCACCGGCACACTGAACAATAACGGCAAAGATGACCACCAAGTGCCTTTACCAGGACAAAGAGAACCTAAGATGGTTGTTCCCAGTTCCCTTGACTGGCTCAGTCCCCTGGTTTTTCTTAGAGAACACTGTCTTTACTTCAGATTTTGCATCTTTACTTTTTTTAATAGTGCATTAAAATATTATTTATCTTAATGACCAAGTTGTTTGACCCTCTTAAATTTTGTTCACTTATCTTGCCCTAGTCCTGACCCAGATGTTAAGGGTGCCTGAGTCTCCACTGAGCTCCCTGCTCCCCTAACCACCCACCCCACCCCCAGTCTCTCCCTTCACCTTCTGCAAGGAACAGGGACAGTGCATCCTGTTTCTGTTTACTCCTGCATTCAGCTAACAGCCATCAATGCCTAGCTACTGTGGGCTAAGTCCCAAGCCCTCCTTGGAAACAAACATGGACTTGTTCATTCACTGAGCATTTATTGGTCCCCTGCTATGTGCCAGGCTCCAGGGACACAACAATAAACAAGATAGACACAGTTCTTGACTTCCGGTGTGGGCAATGAAGACAAAAAATATATATTCATAAGGAATTAAAATTAAACTTGCAAATAGCAATACATTCTGTGAAGAAAATTAAGTGAATGGGCCCTGGCTGGTGGTTCGATTCCCAGTCAGGGCACATGCCTGGGTTGCAGGCCAGGTTCCCAGTAAGGGGTGCACAAGAAGCAACCACACTGATGTGGTTTCTCTCCTTCTCTTTCTCCCTCCCTTCCCCTCTCTCTAAAAATAAATAAATAAAATCTTTTAAAAAGAAAATTTAATGAATGGGCCATGCCCTCAAAACGCCCAGTTTGGGAAGACAGACATATAAATGGGTAATTGTTAAACTGGGTGTGTATGCATTGACGGCAGATCCAGAGAACTGATAAGGGTGGGGAACCAGTGAGCCCTTAAGGGTAGAGAAAGCTGAAGCTGAATCCTAAATGATGAGGAACCGGCCATGTGGAAAAGAACTTTAAAGGGCACTGCAGATCCAAGGCATGGAAACAAGCCAAGGCATGGAGGTGAGGACCAAGGAAGGAAGCAGAAGGGGCTTTATCACAAGGAAAGATGAGACTGGAAGGGCCAGTGGGTGGGCCCGTCCAGGAAACCTGGGAGGCTGTGCTGGGAGTTGGGGGGTAGTGGCAGGTGGCCGGGGAAGAGTCAAGGGCCACGCCGAGTTTCCGGCTTGGAGACTGGAGAGGTGGTGGCGCCAATAAGAGGGGAGCTACAAGCTCCTCGGGTGGTAGGTACAGCTGGGGGCAGCGTGAGTTTTAAAGGCCATTGGGACACACAGATGGAGATGCTCAGGAGACGACTGGACAAAGGGAAAGGGTCACCCAGAGAGATGGAACAGAGCAACAGTGAGGGCAAATGACATCCTCAGTTTTGAATGAAAAGGCCCCTGGGTCCCACTAGAGGGCTTAACTGGAGTGAGGTGGGTTGTCCTCAGAGGCAAAAAACTCACCCAGGCAACAAAACCTTCTGATATTCCCCTCTCAGTCCAGCCCTCCTTAGCCCTCCAGCTGCATGGAATCCAACCAGTTTACCTTAAATCACAAGACACTAGAAATAGAGTTGACTGTAGAAATGGCGATGCTTTTGTTTTTTAATTTTTAATTCTGCACTTGATTCCCAGCCCTTAGGGAAGAAAGAGCTCCTGAAGCAAGATTGCCACCCACGATTGCTCAGCTTTCTCATTATCCAAAGACCGAGAAAGTCTGTAAAGTGGGGACAGTTATTCCAAACCAAAGGATTGTTATGAGGACTAAAGGAGACTGTTTATACAAACACATTCGTAAATGACGACATTCAGCGTAAACTTAAAGCATCTAGCGGACTCGTGAAAAGCAATACTTCAATTGCTAGACAAGTGGAAGCAAACAGAAAAACCTTGGGTCTCATCACAGGACACTTCGGGAAGGTATGTCAGGAGCTGGCCAGGAAAAACCTGCCAGGCAAAGCCTTTCTGCAGCTGTGCCTTTCTGGAATCCCAAAGTTCAGGGCGGAGGTGCAGCTGCCCAGGAATGTATTCCTCCATCACTTTGAGCTCCCCAAATCCCCATGAAGCCCAGGGATATGACTGCAGGGTACGTGGGCCCTTTGGCACCAAGAGCCCCTTCATAAATCAAGGTCTCGATTCTGTTGGCCTCAGACTGTTTTTTCCAAGGTGACCTAGACAAAGTAAAAGGGTAGCCACTTACCTACGAGTGGCATCTGACTTTGAGATGAAAGAACCCTGAAAGAGGGCCAGTTACTGGAAAGGCGACTGGGCAGGAGCAGGTGTGTGGGTTAAGGGCCATGATCCCCGCTGACTTGGTCAGTGTCAGAGCACGAGATCATTAGTCATTGCAGCTGGTCCTGGTGTTACCCACCTGGTTTTTCTGCCTTTTTGGACCTGGGGTTGAAATACAGCTGAGACCTAGATGTTATCTGCAGGGAGGTAACCTTCTTTATCTGGCTATTAATTGCATGGCCAGTTTGTTTAGCTATCTGTCTGTTTCTATTCCACTTGTCCTGGCTTACTGGCCTCTCTCAGATCAATGTTCTAGAAACATGTCCCTTGGAGAAAGAGGACACTCTTCCTTCCTCTCGGAAGACAATTTAGCCAGAAGTTAGAGGGAGAATGATAGTGTGCTCATGATTTCAGCCAATTTGGGTGGCCCAAGAGGTCCCTTTGGGAGACTCGGAGGAGCCCTATTCCAAAGCTGGGTCAGCCCCAGCAAAAGGTCAAGATGACTTTAAGATGACCTTGGCCTTGTCACCAGTCACCCCCAAGGTAGCCTCCCAAGACTGCCATGTGAATCACAGAATCTTAAGTCGTTGGCCCAACAGCACGACGATACAGGCAGGGACACAATAGACCAGAGACGGGAAGAGACTTGTCCAAGGTCACCAGCTTTGAGGAGAAGACTCAAGGGTAGACCCAGGGCACCAGGCTATTTCTCCTGGCCTCACCACACACCCCCTTCATGAGGCCACATGGCAGTGTAGCCAGGTTCCAGTCCAAGACTTTGAAAACTTAGCCCCATTCAACCAATTTGGCCACTCTAACTTCTCCAGTAACATCTAAATGAGCTATGAAAGTAGAAACCAAAGAATATAATAAGGTGCCCTTCATATGTCAAAACCAAGTGGGCAGAGAAGGAAACACATCATTCCTGAGAAACACAGGTACCTGCAAAGTTAACTATCTATGTATCTAAATGCCTGAGGACACTGACGAGACCAAGGAGTTTTAGAGGACTGAGGCCACACCCTGCCTGAAGTAATCAAGTGAGGCACACTCCAAGGTGACCCTTAGGTGGGTCTGAGGAAAAGCAGCTCAGACACCTAAGATGAAGACAGAACACACACACAACTCTGCCTCACAGGCTGCTGTGGGGTTAAGTAAGATGGTGGGTCGTGATGTTTTACATACAGCAGGTGTTTAAGAAACGGTTTCTGATTCTAAATGGCTAACTAAGCCACAAAGGGCTGAGTTCCCTTCTCACCCCTACTTTACAGAATGGAGCTTAGTATATTGTAATTGTTACTTGTGTATTAGTAAATGCAGTGAGGGCAGTAACTGCGCCTGATTTACCCACTCACTTACTGTAATATCCCAGCACCTGGTACATAGCAGTATTCCATACATATTTTTGAATGAATGAATGCATAATACCTTTATCGTCATCTTTGAAATCCCCTGGTTCATTCAGCAACCCTCCAAAGTTCTCTGAGAATAGGGTTTCTGAACAAGAGACTCGGGACTCTCAGTGCTGAATCCTGGAGAGTCTCGAGCAAACCGTACTATGTCCCACTAAAGCCACGGAGCGACAGAGAATGAGTGATACGATTGACAAATTTTCAGAGGGCTTAAAATCAAGACAAGATTCGAGTCGCATGGCTCCGCCCCCTTATAGTCTTAGTCCCACCCCTTCTACCGCCCTCCCTCTAACTCCGCCCCCTCCTTGGAAGGTCACCTTAGAAACGCGGGAGGCCAACTGAGCATGCGCCGGACACTCCGCCACTGAGCACGCTCTCATTGGCTTTCTGTCTTCCCTCCTCCCGCCCGGGAAACGGAAGCCACCTCCCTCTCTGAGGCTACTACGCGACCAGCGGAGCTTGGGCGGGCGTTGGCTCAGTGCTCTGCTGGTCGGCCAACAGAGCGACCTCGGGGTTAAGGGGTGGGGCTCGACGTCAGAAGCCAAGATGGCGGCGGCGGCCAGAGTGTCCTTGAGACCCCGGTTCGCGGCCACAGCCCTTGGCGGAGCCTGCCTTCAGGTGAGCCCCGGGGTCGCACGGAGAGGTCAGGCACGGACCGTACGGAGATGGCCTGGAGCCGAGGATGAGGAGAGGGAGGGAGCTCAGGGCAAGGCCTCGGGGAGGGGGAGACCGCTCCCACCTGCGCAGTGCTCTTAGTTGGCCTGGAGCATCCCTGTCATCCTCCTGCGTCTTGTAGCAGCCTGCGAGGTGGTGAGGGCGAAGACGATCTTTAGAAATAAGAAAAAAAAGAAGTTCAGAGGAGGACTGGAATTGGCCAAGGTCACATGGCAAGTGAGTGACAGATGGGAGCAGAGCTCGAATCCAAACACTTGGGCTCCAAGCCCTTTTTCTGCCACCAAACTGCCGCCTTTGCGGGGAGTGTGAAGAGAGACAGGAACCGGGCCGTGAAATCACTCTTTCAGAGGATGCAAGGTTGGGGGCTCAGGAAAGAGGAACTGGACCGGAACTGGAAAGGAAAGGGCGAGTGGGTTTTTAGGACAGAGCAGGGGAAGGGAGAAATGAGGGACGTCCAGTCCCCTGAAGGGTCTGACCCCTTTCCTGCCAGGGGTGCTGCGGGAAAGACTCGGTTCCTTAAAGCAGTGACCCCCCTCTCGGTGTCCCCGCCTGTAAACGGCATGTAACAGTAGCGACCTCAGAGTTTGGGCACGGATCGCACAGGTACGGGGCGTGGCACTGCCCTGCTGTGTTTTATTCGGTGTGCAGTGATGGGTTCCCACACTTCTTGTGTTGTCAGGAAACTGCCGCCTTCTGATCTGCATTCTGAGTCGGAATATTTAGAAGGGGACAGGGAATCGCCATTGCATGCGTAAGGGACTGAGAATTTACAAGCCATCTTCAAGTGTGTCCTCCTGGGGGCCCCTCAGCCACCGCGGTAAGGTGGGCAAGCAGGAATTCATACCTTCTTTTGAGAGATTTGAAACCCGAGGCTTCAGAAAGACCTTTTTACTTGCTGAGAATGTCATGGCTAAGAACCGGTAGATCTAAGGTGTAAACCTAGTATTTTTTTAAACATAACATGTAAGAAACTCCTAGCACAGGTCTGGGCACATGGAAGGTGTACGAAAAGTATTTGTTCCTCTGCCTCTCTTGCACTCACACGAAAATACCCTGCATTTTAAGTGCCTGCTCCGGGCATAACACAATGCACATGGCCTGTCTTGTAATGCTGGCTCTGTGCTTGTAATGCTGTGTGTGAACTTGGACAAGTTTGTTTTATGGTCTCTCTGAAAAGGGGAAGAGGACTGCCTACAGGGACTCAAGATGATGAGTTCTGAGCATTAAATTGGTGATTGCCCATGACCTTGTGTACCTTATAGTTACTGCCCTTAGAGTATCAAGCAAGCTGTTCAGTTGTGAGAGCCCCACCAATGAGAGTGAGTTCTAAAGCTCAGGTCCCTCTTCCAAGAACAAATTGTGGAGGCTGGTTTGCATAGGTAAGTGTTGTAATTCCAGGTGAGGCCATTGTAGGGCGTCCTGAGGGCAGAAAAATAGAAGAATCCCTCTTCCCACTCTCTTGTAGGAGTGTACCTTCTCCTCCACAAGGGCTACTGCAAAATAATTCAGTCATGAGTTTGGTGTATCACCTGTGGGTGGTACTCAGGTTCCTAGGACTCTCGGACACAATAGGATTTCTCTCCTGAATTTCTCATGCATTAGTCTGCACCACTGAACCGTAGCTCTGTCTGTAAGTGATTAAGCTGCGTTTGTGTTGCCTTAGTTCTTCATCTAGACTATGAACTCCTTTAGGGCAAGCACCGCCCACTTTCAGTTGTGGGTCTCAGTGCTCCTAGCAGTGGCAGGGATTAGAGCACCCATCTGCCAATCACAGGAACACAGAAACTGGTAACGTTGCCCGTATTGAAAAGCAGAAATTGTTCTCTGAGCCACACTAGAAGCTTGACCCCTCTGGTTAGTCGTATGAGGTAGATTTTAATAATCCCTACCCTTTTACAAAAAGCTAGGTAGGGATTTACAAAAGAGGAAATGGAATCAGAGAGGTTAAGTAATTTGCCAAGGGACACACAGCTACTAAGTAGAGCTTGGATTTGAACTTCGCCACACACATTTCAGAAAGAAGGCCACACAGGTGTATGGACTCAGGTGTATGCAGACTTCCTAGCCCCCCTTCCTATTTCCACACCTTCCTCTCCTGCCTCTGAATCTGGATCTGCTCTGTCTAACCCCAGGCCTGCTCCCTAAGGAATCTTTCCTAAAGGAACTACAAGCAGCATTCAGCATAAATCAGAACTCACTCTCCTTATCCTCCTCTGTTCAGTCCAGTTATTGATTATCTTGCTTCCTTAAATTGTAAACTATGAAGTTAATGTTTTCCAAGTTTTCCAGAAAGGTACACTCAGCCTTAAGTGCTCATTAGTTTTGTAGATTGAAGTAGAAATGCTTTTAAAGAATCCCCCTTCGTCGTGGGTTTATAGTAAATTGCTAGACAGGCAATAAGAGAAAAAAGCCTCAAAACTTTGCCAGCCTCCCTGCTTTTGCCCGGATGTTCTCCTTTTCTTCCCGGTACCCTGGGAGGATCGGTGGCACCCCTGTGGCTAGCCCCTTCTCATCTTCTGCATCCTGTCACTTATTCGGAAATCACTGTTCAGCAGCTCTCCCCTCTGCCTTATCCGAGTTTCCTTCTCAGGTCACAGCAGGAGCACGTGGGCATGCTTTAAAAAAAAAAAAAAGCCACCCCATTTCTCTACTCATCAGTATACAAAAACTCATGAGATGTCTCAACTCACTGTCCAAATTTCATCTCCCGTTTTCTTTTGAACCTGTTCCAGCCAAGCTTTCACCCTCGCCACCTCCCTGAAATTGCTCCTGTCCCCGTCACCAGTGACCTGGGCTCTGTAAATCCCGTGGTCACTTCTCAATTCTCACAAGGCTCTTCTCTGAAGTGTCTGTCACTGTTCACTCCTTCCTCAAAACCCTTCTTCCACCTGGCTTCCAGAACATTCTGGCCTCCAGGTGTTCCTCCGTATACATTGGCTATTTTTCCCTTTTACTGATTTCTCCTCCTCACCCCGGAATCTAAACACCAAGGCTTCGTTCTCGGTCCTTTTCTTTACATGCGCTCTTTTGGGCTTTAGATACAATTTACCTGTCCGTGCCGGTGACCCTTCAGTTCGTGTCCCCAGCCCAGACCTCACCCCGGGTCTGCAGATTCGATCGTCCACCAGTTATGTCCTTGGAACCTCTGCACGGCCGTCTAACAGTACAGCATAAACTTGGCCCAAACCCAGAATCCCGACACACACATCCACCCACCACGCACAGTGACTTGCTCCTCTCATCTCAGTTGATGGCAACTCCATCCTCTGTGTGGTTTGGGCCAGAAACTCTGGAGTCACCATCCTTGCTCTTTGCTTCCTTCTCACATCTAGTCTGTGAGCAAATCCTGTCAGTTCCTTCTCAAAATGTATTCAAAACCCAACCACTTCTCACCATTTCCATGGCAACAGGAAATTTCCAGCCTGCTTCAAGCCGTCATCATCTCTCGGCTGATTATTGCAATTTCTTCTTAACCTGGTTTTTTCTTTCATCTTTGCACCTCTGCAGTTGACTCTTAAAACAGAAGCCAAAATAATTCTTTCAAAACCGGTCCAACTCTGTCACTCCTCTGCTCAAAACCTTCCAGTAATTTCCCACCTTACTCAGGGTAAAAGCAAAAACCCTTACAAGGCCCTGCCCGATCTGGCTGTCCCGTTGCCTCCCTGATTGCCTCTCCCACCCCTGTCCCTCTCTCTCCACGCTCAGCCGCGCCAGCTGCCCTTGTGGTCCTCGGGCAGCAAGGTCTCTGTGCTCCATGCCCCTCTGCCTGCGTGGCTCTTCCCCTGAGCATGTGTATGTCTTGCTCACTCACCTCCTTCAGGTCTGTGCTCACCTGTCACCTTTTCAGTGAGGTCTTCCTCGTGGGCCACCCCATTAAGAATTGTGGAATTCAGCCAGGATCCCCATCCCCCTTTTTTCTCCCTTCCAAAGCACATGTCACCGCTTGACATACTAGACATTTTGCGTGTACTTTCCTCTACTCACTGGGGAAGCTCCACGAGGGTGGGAATGTGTGTCTGTTTTGTCCGTGATCCCCGAGGCCTAGAATTGTCCCTGAACATAGTAGCCACTCCATAGTTACTTACCGAACAAATAAGGGAAGGAGTGTGTTTGGGACATCTGCCACTCAGGTCTTGCTGGTTGTAGGGATACCGTGACAACTTCTATTGTTTTGGGGTCTGTTTGGGAAAAGAAATTCTCTCTTTGTGTTATTCTACTTTGGACTGGCACTTGCACCACTGGTATCGCAGCTAAGAGGTTGGGCTTTGGAGCCTCTGCGTGAATCCTGGCTCTTCACCGCGTGATCTCAGAGAGTAGTGAACACGTCCTTGCAGAGAGTTTATGGAGAGTAGAGAAGATTTAGTACAACATCTGACACCTGACAAGGGCTCAGGGAGTGAAAGCTGCTATCATGTCTGCTGTGAGCACCTACGGAACAGATTTCCAGATTTCTCTGTTCAGGGGATTTTCTACAAGTCACAGCTGCTGTGACCCTGTGGGTTGGCTTTGGTGTGGCCTCACAGTGCATGGAGCTCCGTTGCTTGGAGATCCACAGCCACCTCCGGTCATCTTGATTTCCATGCCCTCTCTCCTTACTCCCTTTAACTCCTCCAGGTGTTGTATAAAATATATTTTTTTACTCAGAATGAATTTAAATTAATTGTTCTGCAAAATAGTGATACTTTGGGTACCCCCAAATTTACGTTGGGATTGATCACCTGTGACACTCTGTTGTGATGGGCCCTTGCATCAGTTCTGTCGCACGTCATTCATGAGTCTGTTCGAATGGTTTCTAAATAAACATAACGCTGTTCTGGAAGGTCTGCACGGTCTAGTCAAGATCTGGTTGTCTTTGTAGAGTGGATGCGGAGCAGGCATTTAAGCATTAGAAAGAGGTGTTAGAGTGAGGGTGCATGGCAGAGAACCCGGATCCTCTTTGACAGCTTTGTGAGCGTGAACCTGACCTCCATCAAGCCAGATGCCTGTGTCCCACCGATGATACTATTGAATCAGGCTTTGAACCAGAGCTGACAACCCCCAAATCCCAGGGTAGAAATTTGAAGGAGTTGTACATGTATTTTTTAAAAGGCAAAATTTTGTCTCTGCTCCCCCACCCCCTCCCTCAGCACAGTGAGCACCCATTCTGGAAAGAGTGTGGCAGATTCTTTCAAAAAACTAAACATGCAGCCTTCATATGACCCAGCAGTTACACTCCTCGGCATTTGTTCCAGGGACATGGAGGCCTAAATTCACACAGAAACCTATCCACAAGTGTTCATTGCAGCTTTATGCATAATGGACAAAAACCAGAACAGCCGAGATGTTCTTCAGCGGATGAATGGCTAACCGTGGTACGTCGTAACATGGAACACTACTCAGTAATGAAGAGAAACAACTATTGAGGCGCACAACAGCGTGGCCGAATCTCCAGAGAATTATGCTGGATGGGAAAAAGCCAGTCCCGAAAGGTTACATACTAGGTGGTTGCATTTCTGTGACATCCTTGAAATGACGAAATTGCGGAAATGGAAACAGATTCTGATTGTGAGGGAGGCGCAAGGGCCGGAGGTGCGGCTATAAAAGAGCAACACTGGGGATCTGCGTGGTGATGGACGTGTTCCTCATCTGACTGTTTCGGTGTTAATATTCTGGCTGATATCGTGCTGCGGTTTTGTACGGTGGTACTACTGAGGGAAACTGAGTAAAGAGTATGTGGGATCTCAGTGTTCTTTTTCTTTTATTTATTTTTTAGAGAGAGAGGAAGGGAGAGAGAAAGAAAGGAAGAGAAACATCAGTGCGTGGTTGCTTCTCGTACTCCCCCACCTGGGGTCCTGGCCTGCAACCCAGGCATGTGCCCCGACTGGGAATTGAACTGGTTCACAGGCTGGCACTCAATCCACTGAGCCACACCGGCCATGGCATTTTTTAATCTTTTATACTGTATTTTTATTGTACCATTTCAATGTATGGACACACTAATACCACTGTTACGATTGCCTGCAGTAGTCAGCACAGTAGCAGTAACGCATCGTACAGGCCTGTAGCCTGGGAGCAGCGGCTGCACCTTACGGCCAGGTGTGCAGGGGGCCGGCCAGGTGTGCAGGGGGCCGGAGCACCCGGGTTTGCGCGAAGGCCTCTGTGGTGTTCGCACAGGGACGCGGTAGCCTCACGATGCCTCTCCCAGAACGTGCCCTGTCATTAAGTGACACGTGACTGTCTGAAATGAATTATTCCTCATTAAACCTCACCCAAACCAACATTGGTGGGCACTAAGCAAGCAAAAGACTGCTGGAGCTGTCCTGGGGAGTCTTTTCACTTCCTCTTAAGTGCCACAAGGTGGCATTAGCCTAACGTTCCTCTCCGTTTACAAAATGGAGTCCCTCGTGGAAAACGTTCACTTGTAAAAATGACTTTCCTTTTACTAATGATCTTAGCCAGCTTGGTGATAAGGTAAAATACAGCTTTCATCTTCATCTTCACTCTCGTTTTCTTCACACGTTTTCTTGCATACTAAGGGCTGATATTTATATTTTCAGCTTCAGTTGATTTGGGCCACTTTTGGCCAGCAAGTAACACACACCATTACTTTCTTTTTTTTTTAAAACCAGATGTTTTTAATTTTTCTTTTTAGAGAGGGGGGGAGAAGAAGAGGAAGGACAAACATCAAGGTGTGGCTGCCTCTCATGCGCCCCCTGCTAGGGACCTAGCCCACAACCCAGGCGTGTGCCCTGATTGGGAATCAACAAGCTGGCACTCAATCCACTGAGCCACAGCAGCCAGGGCTTCTTTCTTGTAATAGCAGTTAACCTTCAGAGTCTTTACTTCCTTTAACAGTTTATAAGGGAATTAGCTAGCCTGGAATCTCGTCTGAATTTTTCTATGTAAACATTAGAGTTTGGCTTGTATGTGCTCTTTGGGCTGAGAGGACCCTCCCCTCCCGCCACCACAGCAGGAGCTTAGAGGACCTGGTGTGGTCTCAGCCAAATGGAAAAGGGCTGCCAGGAAGGACTATGGGATGGGGACGGCGTGGCTCTTGATTCAGGGGTGTTTCTGTTTTATTTTTAATGGCTCGATAGAGGTTGCACTGTTCAATTCAGCCTTTTAAGGTACATTTAAAATAAACCACATTTTTACACTAGTATAATGCTCAGTTTTTGCCCTTTTCTCTTATCTGCCCTAACCATGGATTGCATTGCTCTAGGCAAAAGCCTGGGCCAAGCACGCTGGGAGACCCAAAATATAACCTGCTCCGTGCTCTGAAGGCGCCTTTTATGTGGCAGCCTGACTGGGCTGTGGGGTGCTCAGAGGGTTGGTCAGATTATTCTGGGTGTTTCTGTGAGGGTGTTAGTGGCTGAACTTAACATTCACGTTGGAAAACTGATAGATGCAGAGTGCCTGCCCTTATCTGGAACAAAGTCCCTCTCACCCCTTCCTGTGGGAGGGGGCTTCTCCTATTCCTCTGTCAAACCATGGCTCCCGGTCTGCTCCTGCCTTTGGCCTCTGGCTGGAGGTGTCGTCCACCCTCCTGGCTCCCAGGCCTGCAGCCTTGGACTGGGTCTACACCATTGGCTCTCCTGGCCTCCCAGCTGTCCGACCATAGGTCTCGGGGTGTGTTGTCCTCCATAATGACATGAGCCAGTTCCTTACTACAAACCTATTTTTAACCATGTATGTGTACATACATTCATATGTCCGCTTGTATATGTATGCACCATTGGTTCTGTTTCTCTGGAAAACACCAAAATACATGCCCTCAAGGGGTGAGGACATACAGAGAAGACAGCACCAAGAAGGGGCCTGAGAATATTCCCAACTGACTGGGGCAGTACAGTGTCTAGGAACATGCGTTCCGGTGTCAGGCAGCATGAACCTGAGATTCCATCCCTCTCTCCACTCATCAGCTCTGTAACCCTGGGCCCGTAACCTGGCCTCTGAGTCTCATTTTTCTCATCTTTAAAATGCAGATTTAGCCCTGGCTGGGTGGCACAGTTGCTTGAAGCATTGTCCCGTACACCAAAGGGTTGCAGGTTCAACTTCCGGTCAGGGCACGGACCTGGGTTTTGGGATCGGTCCCCTGAGGGGGTGCCTGCGAGAGTTAACCAATTGATATTCATCATGTCGATGTTTCTCTCTCTCCCCACTTCCTCTCAAATCAATAAACGTATCCTCAGGTGAGGATAAAAAACAGTATTAAAATACACATTCAGTGGAATACTTCATATAAAACGTTTACTATAGTACCTGGCAATAATAAATGGTTGCTTTAAAACTTAGTATGAATTAGCACATCTGGCATATGATAGATGCCTAGTATTTGTTGAATATTCGGTGACTGCCTTTTTCAAGAAGACTGTGTCAGTAATGTGTGGGTTTGTATCCAGTATTGCAGTTTATGGTGCAGCTAAGTGGGAGGATTTGTCTTGTATTTTTAATATTTTTCTTTCTTGTGAACTTTGTAAATGTTAGGCCTGCCGAGGGGCCCAGACAGCTGCAGCCGCAGCTCCCCGCATCAAGAAGTTCGCCATCTACCGATGGGACCCAGACAAAACTGGAGATAAGCCTCGTATGCAGACTTATGAGATTGATTTGAATAAGTGAGTATCTCTGCAAGCTGGGCGTTTGATAAAGGAAGGTGAGCTCTTCTGATTCAGGGACATGCTTTTCACATCCTGGAAAGTTCAAAACTAAGATCATCAGTGGCTCTGGAATGCATCTTCTTTTTGAAACAGGAATGAGGCGGGTGCCTGATTCAGAAAGATAATAGCAAGAAAAATAACTTTTGCAAAATTCTTTCTCTTCCCCCAAATCAAAGCATAACTGATTTCTAGGAATCGCGGCAGAGTTGGCTCTCTGCATAGTGTTTGCAGTCGTTTAACACAGCGTCAGTCTGAGAGTCTCGTGTGTCTGGGCCTGTGTGCTGCAGAGGGAGGATGGGCTCCATCAACTCAGCTGGGGTGGCGGTCATGTGTCTGGGCCTGTGTGCTGCAGAGGGAGGATGGGCTCCATCAACTCAGCTGGGGTGGCGGTCATGTGTCTGGGCCTGTGTGCTGCAGAGGGAGGATGAGCTCCATCAACCCGGCTGGGATGGCGATAGGACACGATAAGGATGCAGTTTAAAGTACTGAAAACTGTCCGCACCTGTGTATCAGTTTTCTGTCATAACAAATTACCACAGAGTAGCTTAAAACAACATAGATGCCTATAGTTCGTAGGTCAAAAGTCCAGTCGAGGGCTTATCAGACTACAGTAGAGGTGCCAGCGGCTGTTCCTTTCCCGAGACTGAGGGAGCATCCACTTTCCATTCTTCACACTGTTCCTCGTGGCTGGAAGACCCAGGTTCCTAATTCCCATGTCAGCGAGGAGCTGAGGGGCTGTTCCGACTTTCAGAGGCTGCCTCCTGGCTCCTAGTGCCCATCTCCACAGCCAGGCAGCAGGTTGAGTCCTTCACACCACATCTCTTTGAACCGCTTTCTTTCCCACCATTTCCTGCTTTTAAGGATCTCCATAGGTAGCCAAAGGGGATGAGGCCTACAGGGTCATCTTTTGTTATAAAGAACATTTTCTTTTGTTCCCAGATACTGAAATAGCTCCAGAAAAACAACAGGTGAAATGGGTCTTTTGTTATTCATGGGGCTGCCCCTTTCCAGCCCCAGGATGGGAGCTGGTTGCTAGGGGGAACCAATCGTGTCATTAGAGGGGTAGGGCTAGAGGTGGAGTCAGTCACCAGTGCCCAGTGATGCAGTCAGTCGTAACTGTAATGAAGCCTCCGTGAAAATCCCCGAAGTGTGGGATTTCTCAGAGAGCTTGGGCTGGTCAACTTGTGTGGGGCTGGAAGGGTGGCCCGCCCAGAGAGGGCGTGGAAGCGCTGCTCCCCTTCCCGCCACCTTGTCCTGTGCAGCTCTTTCATTGGCTCTTCCAGAGTGGTGTTCGTTTATAATAATCCAGCCATCTAGTAAGTAAAGTGTTGTTTCTGAATTCTGTGAACTGCTGTAGCAAATTATCAAGCCCAAGGACAGGGTCATGAGAATCTCCGCTTTATAGCCATTCGGTCAGAAGCACAAGTGACAGCCTGTCCTTGCTATTGGCATCTGAGGGGCCAGGTAGGGAGGGAGGGCAGTCTTGTGGGATAGTCGTCAGCCTCTGGTATCTGATGCTTGTCTCCAGGTAGATAGGGTCAGAACTGAGTTAACGTGCGGGACACCCAGCTGGTGTTGAAGAATTGCTTAGTATGGGGAAAATACCCACATGTTTGGTGACCAGAAGTGAAGTATTCAGAGCAAGTAGTAGTAGATAGAAGGAAGCAGAAGAGTTTTCCCTTTGCAAAATGATAAGCTCAGTCTTTTTTTTTTAATCCTCACCTAAGGATATGTTTATTGATTGGAGAGAGAGAGAGAGAAGCATCAATGTGAGAGAGAAATATCGATCTGTTGTTGCCTCCCGCACATGCCCTGACCAGTGATCGGACCTACATTTTGGTATATGGGACAGTGTTCCTACCAACTGAGCCACCAGCCAGGACAGTAAGCTCAGCTCTTTAAAAAAAGTGTCTCAGGACCTCAGTAAACAGTCAGAGAGCATTCACAGACTGAGTCCACCAGAATGAGTCTATTCGAATTAGTCCTCTAGAGGCACCCTCTGGGGGACAGGAATTCTCATCAGTTTTGTTCTCGGGTGTATCTCCAGCACCTAGAATGCAACTTGGCCAGAGAAGACTTGCAATGAGTAGCTGATGAGTGAAGAAAAAGTAATGAATTCATGACAAACACTCAACCGTTGTAGTTAGTATTCAGAGATTTCCAAACATTCTGATGATAATTAGATATTCCAAATTATCTGATGATAATAACACCTCCATTCTCAGAACAGCAGAGGTTTTTAAAGGTTATAGTTTCCATTGTTGGCAGAAGTAGAGTGAAAAGTGTTGCACGTTGCTGATAGGAATACAGACAATGCTAATGGATATTTGGGGAGGGCGCGTATTTCTTAAATCTCATGCATAGAAAAATACCAAGAGAAATCAAGTGGCAGCCAGAAAATAAGTTTTGCTGAGCACTTCTGTGTGCTCAACATAAAAACTATGTGTTTTTATTTAATCTTCATTATAATCCTGTGATACAGCATTAACTCCGTTTGACAGTTTTAAAAAACCGAGGCTCAGAGACAGGAAGCCACTTGCATAGAATCACATCTCTTCATGAGGACAGTCACCGTTGAACTTAGTGCATGTGGCGACAGTCCTGTTCACTTCCCCTGTGAGGTGCGGGTGCTGCTCTCTGTGCCTTATAGACGGGAAGCTGGTTGAGTGATGCGCCTGTAACCCAGGAGGCGCCCCAGCGAGGTTCAGACCAGGTTTTCAGGTGCCAGACCTGCACTCTGGGCTCCAGGCCAGGGCGCTGCCCTTGTCGCTGCCCCCACATGCATGGGACACCTGGTGCTTTGGATTAGGGGACCATGGGTGATTTATTCTCTGTACTGTGTTTTCTGTTACAGTTATGCATTGCTGTTATTAATGAGCCATTGAGAGCCACTTACTGTCTGGATTCTAAAATTTTTTAATTTGAAATAAAGTATTTGGGCAAGCTTTGCAGGGAGCTTTAGAAGGGGAAAACAGGAACTGACACTATACGGAGGTTGTTTCGTAACCTAAGTACTTTTTCTGTAGCTTTCTATTTCCTAGAAGTGTACGTTCAGTGTGATCACCAAAATAGAACTCTGCAGTACTCAATGTGTAAGGATGTGCAAAAATAAAACTCTGGGGGCAAGTGTGAACGTGACGTGGGGAGAGTGTGAAGGCCCCATGGATAATAAAAGCAGCTGATGTGGGCAGATGTCTCCTCATATTATGGTAAAAGTGGAGAGAGATTGAACATATAATACATCTGGGTCTTTTGTTGTTGGTTTGGTTTTGGTCAGATGTGGCCCTATGGTGTTGGATGCTTTAATCAAGATTAAGAATGAAATTGATTCTACCTTGACCTTCCGAAGATCATGCAGAGAAGGTAAGCACTTCCTTCCCTGTTACGTCCTGCACACTTAGCTCTGGTTCCCAAGAGGCCCAGGATGGCCAGAACCAACAGAAATACCCAGAGAACATCTGCAGGGCTCTGCCAGGTGACCTTGCTGTGCAGTGCACTTCCTTTTGGGGGGAAAATGTCAGAAATTGTAACTGTGGTACAAGTTCTGGTTTCCTTTGGGAGCTTTCTCACGTGGTTGCCGTGCCTGGCAGTCCCGAGAGCCGCTGCATCCCACGAGGACAAGCTCGGGTGCACCAGCTGGCCACCTCTGCCCTGCAGCGCTCATTTATCAGGGGGCAGTGCAGAGCGTCTAGCTAGTGCTTATGCACAGTTAACATTCATCCAACAGGGGAGGCATGTGTGCCCGCCTCCAGCTCCCAGAGTTACCTGTGCAGAGAGCAGGTGCTCAGTAGGAATGTTCTGGAAGGGAGCAGCGTGTCCACAGTGTGCTGCTCGTGCCCTGTGAGCTGATTTCAGGCAGTGTGCTTACCAACAGATTTTACTGATAGCTCTGTCTTTATTCACATACTAGAAAAATGTGATTACTGCTAAGAGTAGCAGTGACATGAATGGTTTTTCAATGTGAATTTAAGTAAAAATTATTTGATTTAAATAAAACTCCTAAATAATCATTGAAGGGGCACTCAGATGTGGCTGAAATCACACAGGGATGCTCTGAAGGCCACCTGGCCGCGACGGCCGTGGAACAAGTCTGTGGGCCAGGCTCCACTCTGAGAGAGACAGGGGCCCTGACTATTTACCCGCATGTAGGGACAGACTGAGGCCCAGGGAGGTTAAGGGACTCCCAGAGGGGCTCATAGGTAGTGAGTTGGGAAGCCGAAAGTCAGCCAGGGTTGTCAGATGCCAGAACTGCACTCGGGCAGTACAGTGCGGTCGGGCTTAGGAAACCTGGGATAAAACCAAAACAGCATAGCTTGGGCCAGGACCAAGGGCTAGGTTTGAACTTTCTTCCTAAAATAACCTTTCAAAAAGGAAAGTCACTATAGATGTTGGCCCATCGCTTTTTATGTGTATTCTGCTGTGCATTTCAAGCATTTAAAGTCCTATTTCTAAGACATCTGCTTTGATTCAGCTAATCTTACAGCATTGGATTTAATGTAGCAAATGCTGACAGTTATTACGATAGTTTGTCTGAGCCCTGCTGTTCAGAGAACATTCTGCTGTGATTGAACACCAACCTTCCCTCATAAATCCTGACAACACAGGAAATAGAGATGCTTTCAGTAGAAAAGACCCATAAGACCCTTCAGAGCCAAGAACATACAGTGTGGCCCTCCTGGACTAACATACATGAGACAGACCCGTACCGACTGCCACTCCTTTATTCTCTCGTTGCTTATTAAGAGAGTTCCCAAGGGAGCCTTTTTACTAGAAGATTCGCTGAGTTTATTTTTTTAATTATATACAATTTCTTACAAAAACACACGGTTCCAGTTGAATGCCAAGCATCCATAAATATATTGACGGTATTCAGTCCCTTGAGGAGCGTTTGCCTACGACCGGAAGAGCAGAAGAGTCCCCAGTGCTCTCTCTCACTCCCAGCGGTTTCCGGAGAGGGGGGATTCCTACAGAGTGGAGACCCCGCGCGTGTCCCCCGCAGTCACATTCCCCAGCCTGGCAATCGAAATGCAGCTTCAGAGAAGCGGTACTCCGGGTTTACCTGGCACAATCATCTTTAAACTCTAAAATACCCAGGGAATCTCCATGCACAGGAAATGAGTCCAGGCTAAGGAAATTCTCATTTCAGGGCCCCTCCCTCGGCCAGCAGCTCACGTTTGCTGGGTTTGCTTTGCCGTGGTCTCACATCAGTTCATCACTTTCCTTGGAAAGTCGGCGCTCAGGCAGCCTCTGTGGCCTTCCCGCCCCCAGGACCACCACCGCGCCGCTCGTTCTGTGTGGAGACGCTAAAGCAAGAGCTGCCCCCGGGTGATCTGTACCCAGGCCTCAGCCTGAAGGTGGCCGAGACGACATCGATTTGTTTTGGGGTGTTATATGTCTCAGAGTTTGAGTTCAGATGGCAGTGGCTTCCAAGGTCAGATATGGGGGCCTATGGCCAGAGACAGTGGGTTTTTTAGGGAACAGAGGCTGGTTTTTCTCTCAAAATACATGATGCATGGAGCTGGGACTGGTGTTGGGAACTCCATGATACCAGCTGGATCCCGGGCTCCTCTGTCCTTCTCCTGTGCCATCTGGCCTCAAGGTTGCCTCACAGTCATAGAATGGGTTTTGGAACTACAGCTGTTAGCTCTGCATTCTAGGCAAGAAGAAGGAGTAGAAGAAAGAAAGGCAGCAGGCCCCTCCGCCACCGGTGTGCTGCCTGCCTGCACCGCTCCGGAGGGCCGAGCAGCTGACGGCAGTCCACAGGGAACAGTGTGCGGCTGGGCGAGGGGCTCTGCGTCCGGGTGAGCACACGCTCCATGGTTTTGTCTCCCAGGTATCTGCGGCTCTTGTGCGATGAACATTAATGGAGGCAACACTCTAGCTTGCACCCGAAGGATCGACACTGACCTCAACAAAGTCTCCAAAATCTACCCTCTGCCACATATGTATGTGATAAAAGATCTTGTTCCTGTGAGTTTATGCACCCTCCCTCCCCTCTTCCCAATCCCTGCTCCCACCATATTGTTTGCAGAGGAAGGGGGGAGGTGTGTTCAGGTTATGCTGTTAGTGTTTTGGGGTTTTTTTGTTTTTTTTTTTCAATTAGAGAGAGGGGAAGGAAGGGATAAAGAGAGGGAGAGAAACATCAGTTTATGAGAGAAACATCCATCACTTGCCCCTTGTACACCCTGACCTGGGGATCCAGCCTGCAACCCAGGCACGTGCCCTGACTGGGAATCAAACCAGCAACCTTTCGGTTCACAGGCTGGTACTTAATCCACTGAGCCACAGCAGGCAGGGCACCATTAGTTCTTAGGGCAGGCATTTTTTCTGCCTGAATTTAATTAAGCAATTTGAACATGGAAGATAAAAACACATGGGAGATCTTCCAGCGGCTCGTCGGGTGAAGATTGGGAATGGGGACGGAATTGAAACAGCCCCAGAAATGAAGAATTTGGCCGTAACTACAAAGAAGTCATGTGGAGGAGACCAGCTGGGAAAGCCACAGTTGTTACCCATTTTACTTTCTTTTCTACCTCCCAGTACTTGACTGGAAGGTTTCCCAAGGGGCTGAAGCTGAGATTTCCTAACCACACTTAGTATTGTGACCATGTCTCCTTTCTGAATCTTTTTTTTGTACCCCTGCCGAAGGAAGAGACTCTGACATCTCTCCGTCATACAGCAGAAAACTAGGCTGAGAAATGGGGTAAAGGAGAAGGCTAAGGTGAGGGTGGCTTCTGACCCATTTCCTCCTCCGCTTCCCCTCAGGACCTGAGCAACTTCTATGCCCAGTACAAGTCCATTGAGCCCTATCTGAAGAAGAAGGATGAGTCCCAGGAAGGCAAGCAGCAGTACCTGCAGTCCATAGAAGATCGGGAGAAACTGGTCATTACCCCCATTCATTGTCTTGGTTTGAGGAGTGCCGTCGCAAAGATGTTTTCTGGGAAGTGTGTCTTGCAGGGGTGGGCTGGGTAGCAGCCTGAGGTGACGCAGACCATTTTGTGTAACTCGGGGAGGAACTTCGAACGCATCTGTCCAGGGTCGGACCCCCATCCTCTCAGGGCCGGTGGGTAGTGTGGGCGCACACCGGGCCGCGGGAGGACCGGAGAGCTGGGTGTCTGTGGCCTGAGGAGCGAGTTGTTACCGTGTTGCCACATGGTCTTTGCCTAAAGAAACCGGTACGGGAATGGCCCATCTGTACACGTTGACAGCTGAGTCGGCGTGGCCCCTTAACAGCAGGGGCAAATAAAACACGCTGCTGTTTGCAATCTGCCACCTCCCCGTCTTACAGGTGGGAACGAAACAGTTAACGGATAGACTGGGACTGGGGCCCGGATGTTCTTTCCCAGCACTGTTGTCTGGTGGTGGGTGCATTGCCTTCCCACACTCTCGGAGTTGCCTTCTCATGTACAGGCTCAGGAGGCCTTGAAAGTGAGGGGGTTACGGTCAAGTTCTCAGTCTCCTTGTCTTGTACCACTTTCACCTCCTCTCGGAAGGATCTGCCTGCACACTTATCCCCTGAACACTTAAGAGTCCTTGTGAGAAAAAGAGGTGGGAGGGGGGCCGAGTGGAGATGGGTCCCAACAGTGTGTCTGTGTGGGGCCAAGGACACGAGCCACGTGACGGTCACCACCTCACGTGCTCCCTGGTGAGACCCTGGTCCTGGGAGAGCCCTTCACACCCCATCTGTCAGCAGACCGAGCACAGCTGCAGGGACCATGTCTTACCCGTCCTGGGCCGCAAGACACTGGCGCATGTTATTTTATCAGTAAACACTAGTTGTGTGAATGCAGAAGTGAATTCTGCCTTCTAGGTCTTCAGGAATATTTAGCCCCTCTCCTTTTTTCCATAAAACGTTTAAAACGAGTGTCCTACTAAGGCTGCCCAGCTCTGACATGGAGCCAGTGAGGGTCAGGACAGTGACGTGAGTCAAAGCAGCTGAGTCCTCTTCCAGGAGTCTTTTGTTCCAGGATATAGCTCCGCCCCCCATTTCTAACTCCCAGGAAGTCTGACTCATCAGTGTCCAAGCCAGAGCTGGCCACCCTGGCCCACCTAGTCACCTCTCTTGCCCCTGGGAGCTTGTGGCTGGTAGGCAGCCCCTTGATGGGTGTCATCGGGGAACGAAGGGTTCCCCCGAGGGATGGTTCTGTGTGGGGGTGACTTTCCTCCCAAGTCCCCCCGTGTGCCACAGACGAGAGTAAACATGACTGAGACATGATCTGCTTGGGAAGGAGAGGTGGCCAGTTTCTCAGGGAAAAAAGGCACTGAGCCCCTTCCTCCAAGGGCTTTTATTGGGTTCTAATACACAGGAATACAGAGTGGCAAGGATCAAACAGTAGATAACATTTCAAAGAAATCTGAGGGCTTAGTCTGATTCAGTGTCTGTCAGGAACAATTTTAGGGTTTCCTGCTTGACCCTTAACATATGAATGAAAGCACTCTTAGAGCAGATTACACAGGTTTATCAGGAAGTCTTTGTCACATCAGATTTTCCCCCAGGGCATGCATGCTCTAGCAAGGTAAGGAGCTGCACCCCTCCCCATCAGGTATTCAGGCTTAAGGGGATTAGAGCCAGGAAGTGCTTCTCCCAGAGAACATGGGGACTTAGGCTGGGGGGGGGGGCGGGCAAGAGTCCATTGCTCACTCTTTGTTGCAGCCCCCTCCCCCCAGTCCTTCCATGATGGCCTCCCAAGTGATCTTGTGTGGCCTAGGTTGCCCCTCTGAGGGGTCTTACCTGTCAGTGACTTCTGACCATGCTTTGGGGGCAGGGAGGAAACTGAGGCAGCATTTGCTACCAGAGACAAGCTTTGTCTCCTGTGGCTCGAATTCCAAAGGTCACTGACTCATCTTTAGCCACAGGGGGTAGAGTTACAATTCCTAAAACCAGGCAGAGCAGTCTACAAACTGTTCTGGATAATCAAATCCACTCATTTACTTAGATTTTTCCCGTCTTTAAATCCACATGCTGAAGTGCCTTGTTTCATGCCTTCAAAAGCCGTGGCGCTGTTGCAGATAACCCAGAGAACACAGAACTGATTTTTTTAAATTAATTTTATTTAGTTATTTTTCAAGTACAGTTTTTTGTCTATTTCTCCCATCCCAGCCTCCCCCACCCCTTGCTCCCCACCTCCCTCCCATTTCCAGCCCCCTTAGTTCTGGTCCCTGTGTCCTTCCTATTTGTTCCTCCAAATCAGAACTGATTTTTAAGTCATCTGTGATTGCACTGCCCAAAGATAACTTCTGCTGACAACCCCTTTGTTCTTTTTGGCATTACATCGCATTTCATGTAGCTGCCATCAAAACGTGGCTGTGCTTTTGTGCTCGCTTCCCTCCCTCTTGTTACTGTGAGCATCCTCCCGTGTCCTTAGAAGCGCTTTGCGAGCATCAGCTTACACTTCGCTTTCTGTGGCTTCAGGTGCATGCGTCACGTGTTCCTCAGCCGTCCGCACTGTCGTGGACAGTGAGAGTGTTTTCTTTTTTTTTCTTTTTTTTCTATTACAGATAAGTCTAAACATTTTTATCTTTCCAGTTCTATCCAAGAAATTCCAATTTTTGTGTTCAGTTTTCTTCTACAAGTAGACTAAAGGGTATGACTATAAGTAAGGCTCTTAACCCTGCTACCTTATGCCTTCCAGACCCGTGGGCCCAGTTTACACTCTTACCAGCTGCCTGAACAGAACATAGATTTTATTGAAGTTTCAGGGTTACAATCAAGACATCAACTCTGTGTCATCTGTTGCTTCAGATGCCAGCGTGCCCTTTGGTTTTTCTGCCTTTAATCCATTTCTGTCCCTAAAATCTGGGAAGTCCAGTGCAGAGCTGGTTGGGCAGATAAAGTCAGCTTGGCGGGTGGTAAGGAGCAGGGACTCCAGAGTCAGGCTGCCTGGGTCCCAACCTCTCTGGGCCTCAGTGCCTTCCTGTGAAGTGGGACTCTTCTGGGATCATTGTGAGAATCAAAGGACACAAAAGTGGGGAAGCGCATGGTGCTCAGTGCAGTTGGCGATTATTTAGGGTGAGGTTGGTTCCCACCGAACCTCTCCTCGGCTGAGCTGGGGCAGAGGCTGGTCTGCGCCCAGGGCCTTTTCTGTCTCTCTGACACTGCGTTCTAGGTGATACGTTTTGTTTCTGTTTCTTGTTTGTGTTCATTTTTTTCTTTAGAGAAGAGAAGGGCGATTGATTAAAAGACAAGTACATGGTACGTGGACTTAAAAACGGGGCTCTAGTCCAGCAAATGTTTACATCCCAATTCCAAGATCTTTTTTACGACCCTAGTAAGTCTCTGCAAAATCCTCTGAGGATTTTGCCAAGAAAATTCACATGCAAGTGGGCACTTTGTTCATGCTCTGACCCGGAACACCCGAACATCACATCTGTCAGCTCGGGGCGCACAGGCCCTCCAGCCCCACGTCCCTGACTGCCGTTCCTCTCACCACACAGGACGGGCTGTACGAGTGCATCCTCTGCGCCTGCTGCAGCACCAGCTGCCCCAGCTACTGGTGGAATGGGGACAAGTACTTGGGGCCTGCGGTTCTTATGCAGGTAAGGTGCTCCGTAATCGCTTTAAGAAAAATCGAAACTTCATCCAGGCTAGGCATTCTGAGGGGTGAAGGCTTCTTTCATTTGCATCCATTACAAACAAGATCATAGACTGCATTGTCTTCACTTGGCTTTCAGTAAGCCTAGGGCTTTATCTGCAAAATGCCTTTGTTTCAGTGTGGGGAGGGCCCCACCCGGGGTGGTCGCATGCTGCCTGGCAAACCACAGCTTGCACACCTTTAAAATGCGTTTCCTGTGCCGCTGGCTCTTACCCAGCCACTTGCCTGCTCTCCCCAGACTACGTCTGTCGTGGCTCCCCACCTCCCACTTGGGATTTTTAACATACAAGCAGGCCAGAGGGAAGTGGCTTTGAGGGGCCACAGCCCAGCTGTCAGGTTGGAAATTGCTTTCGGGCTGACGGAAGCCCGGGCTGCTGGGTTTAGGGGTAGCTTAGAAAAGAAAGTAGTATCGCTCTTCATTGCCTTTCACTATAGGAATAGTTCCCTGCAAAGAAAGTCACTGTCTCTGTTCTCAGAAAGCTTACACCTTAGATTTGTGGTCAGTGCTTCCCACAGACTCTTAAGCAACTCAGAAAACAGCCTCTCATGTCTCGTTTTCCCACAAAAAGAGAAGTTGCGTGGTTGTGTGTCCGTTTCGCAGTATTGATTCCCAGCTGAGGTGGAGACTGATGATGAGGCACAGTCATAGGTGGCCCTTGCGCCAGGGACCCGAGCTGTGGGGAGATGGAGTGCCCTCCCATGACCACTGCCAGAGCTCCGTGTTCAGCGGGTCTCGGGTCCCCAGGGTGGCCATGCTCATTAAAAGAACCACTCAGTGAAGCAGACATTATCTCTGGGCAGGTCCGTGAAGTCATCAGTTTACTCAGAGACAGTGAGTAGGTGCTGGGAAGATGGATGAAGAGTCATGTGACACAGCCCCTGCCCTCACTAATTCATAATCCTGACAGGACGCTAATGAGCACCTTAATAATTAGAGGACGATGCCTGAATCCATATAATTAAGCACCAGCGTACCAGGTGCAGGGTGGTTCAGAGGTTTGTGGGATCATTAACCGGGAAGAGTTTGAAAGAGTCGGGAGCCTTGAAATATGGCAAGAATTAAAGAGCATAGAGACAGGCATCAAGGTGAGAAAATTCCCTTTCCTCTGTGCTCCTGGAGCTTTGAGCTGATCCAGATGGCTGCTCTGGCCCTCAAAGCTGCCAGCCCAGCTAACCAGTCCCTGCTTCCCAGGCCTATCGCTGGATGATCGACTCCAGAGATGACTTCACGGAGGAGCGCCTGGCCAAGCTGCAAGACCCCTTCTCTCTGTACCGCTGCCACACCATCATGAACTGCACAAGGACCTGTCCCAAGGTACGTGGGGCTCGTACCCTCAGCTCTGCCCAGAACTGCAGTGACAGGAGTGGCCTGCTCGTGAGGAGGCAGTTGGCAGAGAGCAAGCTTGGTCAGTGGAGTAGGAGAGGGCACAGAGCTTCTTCCACACAGCCTTTGAGAGCTCACACAGGCTGATTTCTGACGGTAAGTTCGAGATCGCGGCAGCGGGTCAAGCCTTTAGAGATGCCTGACTAGTATTGGCACCAGCCGTAGTCACAGGAGAGATGTTCTTTGCTAGACAACTTCGAGCGCTCAGAGAGCGCGGCTCTGCCCTGGGCTCGTTGTCCTGCCGCAGTGAGTCACGCCAGCAGGAGTAAAACAAGACGGGCCCCCTGCCAGAGAGAGAACCACCAGAAATGTCTGAAAGCAGAGGCCGAAGAGAGCTCTTAGCCCAGGCCCCTGGGCTTTAAAGGGCCTGCTCTGCATCCACTTTGCTCTGACACTGTGCCAGCCTGGGGAGGAGGCCCGCCCAAGGTCATGGACTTTTTACATTCAGTTTCACTGTCACTGGGTATTAACTTGCTTCTCTTTTTCAAGGGGCTGAATCCAGGGAAAGCTATTGCTGAAATCAAGAAAATGATGGCAACCTACAAGGAAAAGAAAGCTTCAGCTTAACTGTTCTGATGCTGAGTGTGACTGGTAACCAGCTCAGCTGAACATAATTTATATCTAATTTGAGTTCCTTCAAGTTCTTGATTTTCCATGACTACAGCATGTATAATAAAAATTTAAAAAATAAATGTTATTTTACTTTATTAACAAAAAGCAAGCCTGCTTCTTTTACTTGTTGCAGAGGAGTGTGAAGGTGCAGAAGGAGGAGTCCTTCTGGTCCAGGGCTCCAGAACGGAGCTGCTGGGGATAGGGTGGGCTGGGCTGGGGTGGGGTACAGGGGTCCAAGCATGGAACTGATGTCAGGCAGGGCCTGGGGCTCACTCCTAGCTTTGCCGTTCCCCAGCTAGACACCTGTGGGCAAGTTCCTTCTCTTTGCTGCTTCCGTCGCCCATCTGGAAAACAGGACTCAAAACCATTTCACCCTCCCAACACTTATCCTGAGAGCTCAGAGTTAGAGCGACCATCAGTATTGGAACTGTTTAAAACCAAATCTTGGTACATCTTTTAGCTCATGGAGGCAAGGTTCAAGCTTCCTCCAGCCTGGAGCGCTGGCCCAGACCAGCTGTGAACTCTAGTTAGTTCTGCGAGTGACCTCAAGGGACCTTGCGCCACAAGTGTAAGTCCCCGCCATTGCTGCCTTGTCTCTGACACAGAATACAAAGGCTGTAACACTCACTAAAACCACAAACTGCAAAAGTAGGGCAAGTAAACAGTGGGAGCCCCCAAAGCCCCACGTCCCCTGTTGGTGGTTTATAATTTCCTTCCAGACCTTCTGTGTTCCAAACATGCGGCAGACATAAAATGTTTTCTCTTCATAAATAGCCCCAGCTGGTACAGCTCAGTGGATTGAGCACGGGCCTGTGAAGCAAAGGGTCACTGGTTCGATTCCCAGTCAGGGCACATGCCTGGGTTGCAGGCCAGGTCCCCAGTAGGGGACACATGAGAGGCAACCACACATTGATGTTTCTCTCCCGCTCTTTCTCCTCCCCTTCCCCTCTCTATAAAAATAAATAAGTACAATTTTTTTTTATCTTTTGGCTTTGGCTGGTGTGGCTCAGTGGTTGAGCACTGGCCTACATACAAATCAGGGGGTCGCCGGTTCGATTCCCAGTCGGGGCACGTGCCTGGGTTGAAGGCCAGGTTCCCAATGAGTACATAAGAGGTGGCCGCACGTTGGTGTTTCTCTCCCTCCCTTTCTCTAAAAATACATAAATAAATAAAAACTTTTCAAAAATAGAGCCTGATGCAGTCCGTGGGTAGCTTTCTACTTTTCCGTTTTTTTACTGTAAAACCCAAAATGTACGATGTTAGCCGCTGTAAGTGTGCAGCTCCACGGTATCTCATACACGTACGCTATTGTGCAAGGTTCCATCCCCGTTAAACCCTGACTCGCCAGCCCCCTCCCCGGCCCCTGGCAGCCAGCAGCCAGTAATACTTCCTGTTTCTGTGACTGACTGCCACATGAGGGGAGGGACACTGAGTTTGGCTTTTTGTGACTTACTTTCAGTTAGCATGAAGTTCTCAGGATTCATTCATGTTGTAGCATGCGTCCGAATTCCCTCTGTGGACGTAAAGGGGTTCTATGGAAAGTCACCTCACAGAGCGATGTGATCATTGGTTGCTACCTGGGCAGGTCACGCCCTGTCACTTTCCCTGCCTTAAGCCAGCCCTGACCATCGTCCCTCTGCATCCAGGTTAACACGCCTTTGCAATGCCCCCTTTCAGACCCCTCCCTCCTAAAGCACGACCACCGCTACAGAGCACACACGCTGAACTATCCTGTAACTGGCTGGCTGCCCCACTGATCTACTGAGTAGTCTTCCTCACGTTCCTCCTTAATGCGTAAAAGCCACTGCAAACTCTTCACTCTCCAAAGCATTTATCTCAGTCTGTTGAGATCTTGCTTCCAGGGGTAACTTCCGTTTGAGTCAAATTTTTATAAAAATCCTCTACATGTTTGGATAGTCTTAGATGGACACCTGTCTCTTTAAGGCTGAAGAATACTCCGTTGCATATACATACCATGTTTTATTTATCTTTCGGTCCCTGGACGGATGCGTGTGTGTTTGTGTGTATAAAATGTATTTTCTGCCTTAGCCTTTTTAAACACTGATTACCTGCTCTAGGTTGTAGATGCACCGTAACTTACACAACCATTTCCCCTGCTATTTCACGTTGGGATAGACCCTATTTTCACTCTTAGGAATGTCCCAAAGCTGCTTTTTAAGTGGTAGCAGTGAAGTCATGCAGGGAACAAAGGCTGCTTGTGTCAGGAGGCAGGTGGCTAAGGAAAAGGTCTGACTCACTGAGAATGAACCCGGTAAGGGTTTCTGGCTTTAGCTTTGCAGATCAGACGCCTTCACGGTGGTGTGGCCTAACAAGCTAGTGTCGGCTGCCTTTCTGGCTCTTTAAAGGGGAGGTTCAAAAGCACTACTCCCCAGCACCCCCAGGGGAAATGCTGGTATAAAGACGAACAAGATCTGTTCCCTGCCACCTAGGAGGAACCAAGGTTGCTAAGGAAAAAGGAACAAGCGTTGAATTAGGATTTTAGAGAACAGGGCCTTTGCCCTTAAGAACAGCATCTCAGAATTCTCAGCCACCTCACTAAGCCGTACACAGTCCTGCAGTGCTTCAGCTCAAAATTCGAACAAGAACTGAAAAAACCTCAGGCAGACTCCCGTGCCACGTGCAGGGAGGACAGTGGGGCAAAAGCCACACCTCGTTGATTTCCTTGTTCTGTTCCTCGGTCAGCCTCAGGGAGGTCACATTCTTTGGATTCAGGAAAATGTGACTTCGCTTCTAATCTAGATCTGTAGGGAAAAACAGGTTTTTCTCCCAAATACCTTCATGGCTGGTAAAGAGGAATCCCGCACCCCCGGGAGGGGGTGGTGGGCAGCTGCCACTTCAGAGCAGTTTCATCAGATGTCACGTTTGCAACCGTCGTTCACTCTTGCTCTGTTTAAACCAGCTAAATTGGGATATGTTGTCAACTCAGAGTGTAATTTACTGCTCATTTTATCTTTGCTTGTATTGCAAATGGATGTTCTGTTTCAACAGTCACAAGGACTCTCCTAGGAAAACTGCAGACCTGGCCAGAGAAAGATGGTATTTTATCCTTTAAAATAAAAAAAAAAAAAGATTTTATTTATTTAGAGGAAGGAGAAGGGAAAGAGAAAGAGAGGGAGAGAAACATCAATGTGTGGTTGCCTCTCATGCACCCCACACTGGGGACCTGGCCGGCAGCCCAGGCATGTGCCCTGACTGGGAATCGAACTGGTGACCTTTCGGTTCACAGGCCCAAGCCACTGAGCCACACCAACCAGGGCCACACATCTCTTCTTAACCAGCCTCTGGGCACTACTGAACCCCAGTGCCCGTTTTCCCATAAAATGGGAATTAACAGCGTTCACCTCTCAGAACTGTGGCTGTAGTCTAAATGACAATAAATGTAAGTTCCCGCAGAACAGAATGAAAAGAAACTGAACATGTGAGGCGATGGGTGGACCGATGCGGGTTACAGGGTGCAGGTCTGGCGAGTCTTCATCTCATACACTTCAAGTAGCTCACAAGTTTGTCGGTTATACCTCAATAAAGCTGAACATTTCAATGAATAAATACTTAGTATATATTAATTATCCAAAAATAGGTGAAAAGCATCTAACCTGCAGTCAAGCAAATGCCCCATGAACTCAATTTAACTGCTCGGTCTCCAACACCTATTGTGCGAAAGACCTTCTGCCAACGGCTGCAGGGACTAGGAAGGTGGGCCGTTCCCAGCCCTCCCGGCAAGCTGGGGTATTTCTGGCATGGCGGGCCACAGGTAGAGACAGCTCGTTCAGAGGATGGATTTTCTGTGCAAGGCTAGTGATGCTCGTGTTTCAGCTCCCGTGACACCCTCACACGGGCTGCTCAACTGTCCCCCAAATTCTCTTCCAGCGCCTTCTCTTCTTCGTCCAGGAAACTCTGAGAGGAACCGCTGAAACTCCACTTTGTGTGTCCAGACAGGCAAAATCTTGTCACGGGGTTTGTCACTAGGTAAGAAAGTCCCTTTTGTTGCAAAAATGTAGTGAAATCTCGAAAAATAGAGAAGTGAGGCAATGGTCCAGCGTGGAGAATAAGCCAGTCCAAATGAGTGTGAACTGTCAAGCCTTTGCCAGGCATTGCATGTCCTTCCTGTGGATTCCCAAGAGAGCAGCAGCCCTGGAAGGAAAGCTCCTCCTGCCATCCTGGCCCACAGGTGTCCAGGCGCCCAGCCCGCAGACGGCTCGGTGACCACACACCGAGAGCCACTTCCCCAAAGGTAAAACTTGGGTGGCTAGCAGGGCCTCCCACACACATCCTCTGTGGTTTGGAGGGAAGCTTCCTCTGGCCTCTTGCCCCTCAGAGGTGATGGGCCAAGGGGGCAGGTCCTTTCCAGATGGCTCAGAGGAGGCAGCCTCTTCAATACCAGGTGGCGTTAACAATACAAAGGGTAAGGGGACCAGTCTTGTGTGCAGCCCCCAAGCCCCCTCTTTTATGAAGCTTCTAGCCAGCACCAGGGCCCAAAGAAAGTAACTGGCTCTATCACACACCTGCCACATCACTTCAGCCTCGAAACAGCTTTCATTTTAAGAGTGAGGAGTGCGGCTCACACGGCCAGAAAGCAACAGACGCACATCCGTACCGAGGTCTCCCTGCGACCTGGCCCTTGCTGTTGCGCCATCCCGCCTCTTGGCAAGGCCACCTGAGCGAGTCAGCTTTCTAAATCCAGCCATCCTGCCTGGCCTGCGGCGTCCGGTTCCCCTGGTTACCTAAGCAGTCTACAGGAGATTGGGCTAAGCCCTGGGGGGGAAAATGGGGACTCTGAGAAGGTATACCTAGTCTGTCCCCACTGGAAATGTCTTCCGCAGAGGAAACAGGTCTTCTCACCTGAACTGAGTGAGGCCAGCGCAGCCACCCCTCCACCCCCTGCTGCTGGTCAACCTGCTCCCAGAGAGCAGCCTGCCCCAGCTCAGCAAATGGCTCCACTGTCCCCGGGCTGCTCAGACCAAAAACCCTGGGCGCCCTCTTTGACTCCACACATCCCTGTACCTCCTCACCCCATGCGTCAGCAAGTCCTGCAACACTTCTTCACCATATGTGTTTACTGGGCCCTTGGTATGGATCAAGTCCGG